GATGTTCGACTCAAAGACCATCAAGACAAGCCCGGCAATGAAGGAACATCTGCTGTGGCTGAACATCTTGCTATGGGAAGGAAAACAGGACATAAAGTCAACTTTGACAACACCAACATACTGACAATCAATAAGCACATAGATAAAACCAGGAGACTTCATGAAGCTATCCACATCAGAAGATATCAGCCTGACCTTAACAGAGATGAAGGTGTTCGTTTATCGCATGCATATGATAAACTTATCAACTTGTAATTATTCATATTCAAAAACAATTTCCAACTTTAAGCATAGTTAGTTATATGAACAATGTAATTTCTATTAATAAAAGACTCCAATACCAGCAATAGTTGTTTATTTAATCTTCAATTAATCTTTTTTAATTCATTTACTTTACTTCAATTATTTTACTTAATCAGCCTGTATGTTATTTTAAGAATTATATACCTCTTATTGTACCTGTTAAAATTTAATGTAATGTATCAATAAACCATTTTCTCTTGTGTGTTCTTAATAATAAGCATTAATGTATATATAGTTTGCCCATCACTTCTTCTCATTATGTGCCTGAGGACGACGGGGGAAACACGTCGAAACGTTGCATAAAACTTTAACCAGTGATTGTTGTTCCATAAAGCTGTGTCTATATATCGTACTCACAATTGCTAAATGCCATTCACAGACTTTATAATTAGGATATATCTGGTTCATGATAACTGTCAACTTTCCTGTTCGTTTCAATTTCACTTTCAAATTTAAAAAAAAAAATGCATGATATAATTCATTCAATTATTCTATATTTTTTAATGTTAAACGGCATAAAGCAAGTCATAAAGCAAGTCATAAACAAAGTCAAGGTTTAAGTAACTTAACCAACTAGTAGCTACAGTGGCTGGGCCAGCCTCACAGAGTACAAAAAATAGGTACAAATAGGGCTTACACTGGCTCAATCGACAATTACTGTCGAGGCTGAAGAAGGGAGGGGATGTCCAGATGTCCCTTTATTGTCACTACAATTCTTATAGAACCAGAAGCAATATTAGCAAATCATATTTATTTATAAAATGAAATTGAGTCTTACGTCTTACTTTTCTGTAACGGACAAGATTTTTAATTAATATGAAACTCATTATCGATTTCTTACTGTTGAGGGATATTTAACGCTATAGCCTGTAGCACAGAGGGCCTTTGTTTATTGTTCCATCCAACAAACCCTGGATTTCAGATTTGCAAGAAAGCGTCTAATTCACTGAGCCACCGCAGATAACAGTTAACGCAACACAAGGTAGAAACTGATAGTGACAGAAATCAGATTTAAAACTAAAAGGCTGCATTTAAAAGGCAAGCATAATGCATCAAAATTTAAAAAGTGTGAGTTTGGATAAATTACAAGAAATAAAAATCTGTAACTTCAAGCGGCAATCGAAACTTCTATACAAGTCATCAAAACAATCAAATCAAACCTTCAAGATTTTGTGACAATCAGATACCATCAGCAGTCTCGATATGGATCCATGTGAAAATACACAAATTCAAAACTATTTTTTTACAAGAGTAAGAACTCAGGTTCAAGAAGATATTGTCAACATGCTGGTCCTTGGTCATCTAATGAGTCCTCAAAAAGTTTCAAAATTGAGATCTTCCTACAAATATGGTTTAAGGAATTTCCATCTGTACGAAATGTCAATTATAATTTGTTGCTGATGGAGCTACAGTTTGTCCTCGGAATGTTGAATAAGCCTAAGATCAACTTATTCTAAGTGGGTGGAGAAACTGAGGCATGTCCATTCCAATACAAATTAGAACCCATTTATTATCATTTGTTAGATGGAAATCAAATGACGCCAAGATTCCAAAACTCAAACTAAATGAGCAGCAGTCTGTCTAAAAAATTTCAAGATCAACTTACCAAAAATGGGCGGAGTAATCGCCCTACTTCTTCATCTGTTCCTCTTCATCTGTTCTTCATCTGTTCTTCATCTGTCCTTCATCTGTCCTTCATCTGTTGGCGCGCGCCGCTTCATCTGTTCTTCATCTGTGAATAGGAGGATCTGTCGGGTCATATACGCCATGACCCCAGAACACTCCTATTGTGGCAGTGCTGTAGTGGGTAGGTAAATTATCAGACGATTTACCCTTTCTAATCTGAAATTGAATCAAACCAAAATGGTAACGAAGCAAAACGTACAACGATCCCCAAGACACCAGCAAATTTCATCAGCAATGTTTCAACAAAACGAGGCCCTGTTTAAGTCCTTGGCCGGACTGATTTGACAATTATTGATTCAAGCCTAACCGTTTCAGAACTTAAAAAATCAGTAACTATTTCAGCTTTAAAAATCAGCATCTGTTTGAGCATTAAATTATAAGCAGCAACTGTACAACGAGTCCGAATTGATTAGCATACAGACAGGTGAGGAATTTCGTATTCCTTTTCACACTGAATTATCACCCTGATCACACTTTGCAACTTGGTATGGAACTTAAGTTCACATAGCTTAAAGATGGATTTCCTTATCTATTAGTGTCAAATTAAGCAAACTATTTGATTAATTGGTGTTTCTAATGAATTATGGTGTATTCTTAATAATATCATTTTGTTTTTATTGCATATAATTATGAGTCTTAACCAATCACAATTGTCTATGTATATACAGTCTGGATAAACAAAAAAATACTTTTTGACCTTTCTTGATCGGTCACTCATTGGAATTCTGCTGGTAATTCTCTTCTAATTTAGATAATTATGAAATGATAATGGACATGTGAGACAAACTGGTCTTTTTTTTACGAGTCATTAAGATACCTCTACTTTCTATTCATATAAGTATTAGCATTTTCTTTTTCATAGATGAAAATAAGGGAACCCATCTTTAAGTTTAATATGTTAACAAGTTGATTTTACAATTTCATTGGTTGACGACAAAGATGTTTGCTAGGATCTAGAAACTTCAAGAGTATCTCCATTCAAGGAGCAATTTTGGACTGTATAAAAAACACAAAAGCGGCCAAATATTTGGTTGATAAACATAAATTGGATTTAGATTTTGGATGAAATGTTTTAAAACTGTATACAGAAAGATATTTAATAAGAATGTAATATCACCCAATCAAAATTCAGGGTGCCTAAAACAGTCAATTCTTCAAGGGATACCGAGTTGTCAAAATCAGTAGCAGATTCGAAAAGGGGAAATTTTGATAAGATAAGGTGCTGTTAAGAACGAACAACCATTTTAACAACATAGGTTCTCCTGGGATCTTTTTAACAAACTGATCCGTGTCCCAACCTCTTGAAATTTATGATTAGGTTGACTGGAATGGGAATGATGACAAGATCAAAATACTTAATTAGAAACCACGATCACCATTAACATCAAAATAATGACACGATGTCAGCAGAAAGAGAGTTATCGTTGTCTTTTGTGTTACGCCCATCAAGGTTGCATCCCCTATTATCAAAATATGTTTGTCAGTCACATTTGAACTTAAAATGAGTTAAAATGAGTTAAAAGGAGTATTACGTTAATCTATTCTGCATCTGTTTGAGTAGCAGTGCAACGAAGATAATAATACCAGGACCGTAGTATTAGCCTTCTTTTTCGACGTCCAAATGTCGAGAGATCTTTCAGATGCAAAGCCCGTAGCACACTGAGCCACCAAGACTCCGTAGTAATATTTGAACCATTAGACCTTATGCATAATATGCCAGAACATGCAGAATTGGTAAAGTATGATAATGTGAAACTTACACGAGGAGCTTCCATGCCACACCATAAGCACTTTATTCTTATATAATGAAGCTCTATTTGTATACACCTAAAATAAATATTTTTACATTATTTATTTCATCACAAAATATAAACTGTATATTTGCGTGTATGATATACAGTTTTCCACCCTGAAATAGGTTGGACGACTTATGGGTGCACGTTATGCCCATCGACAAAGCTTTGGAAATTTTTGACTATAGGTTATCCAATCAAATATTGCCAGTCTGCTTTTACATATTTTATTGCATTTATTTCTATGGGTTAGTTCAATTATTCAAATCCATTCAACACCATGACCGTATTGTTGTGTGGATAGTGCTCGAGTTTTTGTTATCAGGTATTAGTCTGAAACTTGTTCATTTCTAACTAGTTTTGACAGAGCCGATTCAGAAAAATTTGGATGTTTCCACACTGCCATTTTCAAGATAATCAAGAACTGATCCCCATACTTGGTCGATATTTTAAGAAGAGAAAAAATCAATCCTGATTCCCTGCTTTCGAGGGAAAATTACTCCCCATAACAAACTTATTTTTTCTGATTATGCCTATACGAATGAGCTTCTCGTATCTTACCCGTGATCCTTCAAGTCAGTATTCCAATCACTGATATAAATCAATTCTCAACCAAATGAACAATTGTGCACAAAATGATTATGTATAGATTTGAATAGCTATAGCATTTGAGACACGACTTTTGTTGGTCATATTGGCTGGAGAAAGTGGGAATTACTTCTCATTGATTAAAATATTAGACTACTGAATCAAGGGTAATATATAAAGTAAACTCGAACACCTTTTTTAAATCAACTAAGTAGAAGTGAACAAGTTTCTGACGATTATGAAATGAAAATTACTCTTAACTTACCTCCATTTGTTTCAAGAGAGGTTGGGTGGACATGATATGGCAGCTTAGCCGAGTACAACCTAGGTGGCCCTAACAAGGTAGCCCACAGGCTGCCACAACTAAACTACACGAGAGCCCAACCCGAAAACGCGAAAATTTTGCTCCGTGTGAACTACCTCCAAAAACCTAGGTTGCACACCATATCTAACCATGTTGTCCGTAGCTGAAGACGAGCTACTATACTCGAAACACTGAAATGTAAGAAAACGCCATAGTAAGAAAAGAATAGAAATAAAAAACTTTGTGTTTTACGAGGTTATGATTTTTATTTTTACTTTTCTGATCAAGCTCACTTAAAATCTATATGTAACACTTTTCAGAATCATAATTTAAACTTAAGACCTATGAACTAAACAAATTGTAAGATTTGGCTGTTCTCACTTCCAGGTATCTAGTAACATTCTCAGATCATATAGTTTGTACCGAATTGTCTCATCATGATAGCTGCTGTAAGTATCAAGGGTCACAATCATCAAACGAACTCAAATACGCTTGATAAATCATTATGCCAATCATTATTTCCAAGCAAGCAATTATACACGTACGATTTATTTGCATGTAACGGGCACAATTTTATACTCTTATAATCTACAACTATGATATACTAACCTAAACAGGAATGGTATCCAACCATGGTGTATTAACTCAATAGTAAAAACCGCTATTGAGCACCCTGACCTGAAAGGAAATGAAAAAACACAAAATATCATATTGAATAATTACGCATTGTCTTTGATAATATCCCCTATTCGAAGCAATATTATGTCATTGTGATGGCATTTTAACTTAAATATTACACTGGTTAAAATTTCATGAAACATTTCAACATATAAAGAAACTTGACTGTGAAACTATTTGGAGTCATTTTCCTTTTTTAAATGTATAAAAGAAGTTTGATAATGGGGCCAAGCTCGTGCAGGCCTTAGTTCCGATTCCATAGAATTCCGCCTTTTTTCACTCATATTCCTTATTTTGATTCCTAGTTCAGAGCCTAGCTTTGCCTCAAAGTCACGTATCTCAACACAAATTTGCAATGGATTTTTGCTTTGAGTCTTACATGTAACTTAGATATTTTCTTTCTTATGGAAAATAGGGTGGGGGCATTTTTAAAAATGTATCTTAAATTTGAGAGAATTTCAAAAAGTCGACTTACCTGTTGCTATAAACGAAGCAAACTGACTGAGCGAGTAGTCACTAGTTAGGAGTGAATTTCACTTACTATGACTCTTGTGATTAAAATCTATTGTCTTGATTACTATTCTGTAAACCTTGTACATCGTCCGAAATCTGCTGTTTTTTAGACTCTTATAAAGACAATAGACATTTAAAAAAAAGAGTTAAAATCAAATTCAAATTAACAATATCTACAAGTTAAAAGCAAGTATGGCCTGTAGACAACTTTTTCAAATACAAACTTTTGGCTCAAGTTTTGATCTTTTCCTACTAATTAGACCCCAAGGACTCCAAAAAACACAAGAAAATCAAAATCAGTAAGTTTTCAAACTAGCTATATGCAGTCTGCATATTTGTGCACAAGAAGTGCTCTAAGACAAATAAACTTTTGGCGTGAAAACTTACAAAGCTACAATGCTGAAATTTTGCACCAATATTCACATGAACTATCTGGACATGTCAGAAAAAAACAGAACTCAATATTATCTGCCTGCATATACAGTTTCCTTCTGTTACATCCTCTGTACATTCACTTTCTAACCTCAAGTTATTTTCATTATGCTCCCCAACTACAACAATCACTGGCAAGAAGACAGACATAGAAACACTAATCATCAACCAAACCAACATCACGTACCCTTCAACGGCCCTGTCTTCAATCGACCTCTACCACCTACCAATCGCCGACCACCAACCAACCCATTCAACTATATCCCACCCCATCGCCGACCTACCTACAACACAGCCTACCAATATAAGGTAACCACCGACCTGACCAACAACAGAAACGACTACCAGCCCACCGACGCCAGCCAGTACCGACTCATAAGGAGGAATAACTAAAACGCTCAGTGCTTCCAAAGTAAGGCAGATATGGAATCGCGGTTTGTGGCATTGCAAAGCTAAGATTTCAAACTAGTACCTGTCAAAATTTCAGCATCCTATCTCAACTGGTTTGACCGTGGTGAAGCTGCAAAATTTGGATTTTCAAAAAAGTCAAAATTGGCCAATTTCAACAGGTAGCTACCTGTGGTACCAAAATCCATTTTTGGGTCGAATTTTTTTGGTCTCGGAAATCGATGTAACCTGGTTTTTTGGACTCGGTGCTTCTCTAGCTCTCTCCCAATGTGCATAAAAGTGAATTCTGAGCACTTTTTTATTTTGCGGAAAAGTGCCAAAAAATCCGGTTTTTCATGGACAAAACTAAAACGCTCAGTGCTTCCAAAGTAAGGCAGATATGGAATCGCGGTTTGTGGCATTGCAAAGCTAAGATTTCAAACTAGTACCTGTCCAAATTTCATCATCCTATCTCGAGTGGTTTGACCGTGGTGGAGCTGCAAAGTTTGGATTTTCAAAAAAGTCAAAATTGGCAAATTTCAACAGGTAGCTACCTGTGGTACCAAAATCCATTTTTGGGTCGAATTTTTTTGGTCTCGGAAATCGATGTAACCCGGTTTTTTGGACTCGGTGCTTCTCTAGCTCTCTCCCAATGTGCATAAAAGTGGATTCTGAGCACTTTTTTTTTTTGCGGAAAAGTGCCAAAAAATCCGGTTTTTCATGGACAAAACTAAAACGCTCAGTGCTTCCAAAGTAAGGCAGATATGGAATCGCGGTTTGTGGCACTGCAAAGCTAAGATTTCAAACTAGTACCTGTCCAAATTTCATCATCCTATCTCGAGTGGTTTGACCGTGGTGGAGCTGCAAAGTTTGGATTTTCAAAAAAGTCAAAATTGGCAAATTTCAACAGGTAGCTACCTGTGGTACCAAAATCCATTTTTGGGTCGAATTTTTTTGGTCTCGGAAATCGATGTAACCCGGTTTTTTGGACTCGGTGCTTCTCTAGCTCTCTCCCAATGTGCATAAAAGTGGATTCTGAGCACTTTTTTTTTTTGCGGAAAAGTGCCAAAAAATCCGGTTTTTCATGGACAAAACTAAAACGCTCAGTGCTTCCAAAGTAAGGCAGATATGGAATCGCGGTTTGTGGCACTGCAAAGCTAAGATTTCAAACTAGTACCTGTCCAAATGTCATCATCCTATCTCGAGTGGTTTGACCGTGGGGAGCTGCAAAG